TGAGTATGCAGATTCATTGATAGACCCTTTTTAAGTACCACAGTCTCCACAAAAAGTAGATTTCTTGTATGCGTCAGTAGAAATTACCTTTTTTTTTCGATATGGTTGTGGCATCAGTTAAAATATTTGCAAGTTTTCCTGTCCTCTGGGACCTCAAAGTTTTAAACATCCAATAAGAATTCTTATGTATGAGAATAACTTGTAGAAAATGACATCAAAAAGATTGACAGAGTATGTGGGGTTTTTTTTTCTTAATATCAGTGTAATTTGATAATAACGCCCTAAAAAATATGTTCTTTTAACTTAATATGTAGGACACTTCAACTTGGAGTTTATTTTTCAGTTTTTCACTGAACCAAAAACACCCGTTCTGATTTTTAGTAATTTAAATAGTGTAACACATTTTATTTGTAACTAGGTATTTTAAAAGAACGCCTGAATGAATCCTTCAAAGGAAGGATGTTTACTGTTGGTGAAATGTTGAACATATGAGCATAATAATTCTCATGTCTGTCTTTAACTGGAAACCTGATTTACTTCAGCATTTATGTTGGAATTCCAGCCTTTCAAATTGACAGTATGTTCAAGGAACGTGAAGCTTCATATTCCTTCTTTCTATAATAAGTTATTAATCAGTACATTGTTAGATGAAAAGTGAATAGCAAAAGAAGCTTTCAAAACTGTTTTCCTATTTGATTTCAAAATGTTACCATTGGTTCTTTCAAATTTGCAAGGAGTTGTTTATTTATCTAAATTGGACGTTTTCATCCCCAGAAATGTCAAGCCCCTTATAACATGACTTATAATGGAAATGTTGACAGAATTTTAATGCCTTGGCTAAGATGTTTTTATGAGAGTTTTTTTCCCTGAAACCTTAGAAAGTGATTATTTTTAGTAAAATATTTCCATATGTATACCTTAACAATATTCATTCTAGAAAAAATACACTTTCTGTATGGAATTATGCATGGTCACTGATTGAATACTGACCTGCAATTCAAGTTATGCCTTCTATCAGTGTCAAAAACCACCAGGACACCCAGAGCAGAGCTGGTGTGGTTCAGGAATGGAAGTGCTGCAATCCACAGCTTGAGTTACAGCCTTGGTATTCCATGTTATCATGTGAACATTTAGGAAGTAACATCTATTTGACACTTCAAACAGAAACTGTGACTTAGAAGAAAGAGGGAGAAATAAAGCATTCAGAAGATCTTCACAGAGGTTCAAGCAATATGGTGTGACATGTAAACAATTCTTATTGCATAAAACATTTAATTGATATGCCCAGCTTTGACTTGTATATCCCTTCACATAGGTTCTTTTTTTGTCTGGTTGTTTGTTTGTTTGTTTGTTTGTTTAGAGCATTAGTTGAGTTACATTTAATTCTGAATTCCATTCTGGATAAATCAAATACGGGACACAGTGAAGTCTTCCAAATAATCTTTGCTTACATTTTCTTCTGTTGTTCAGAAGCTGGATCCCACAGAGAGTAACCATCCTTTTAATCATACTTATCAGATTGCTACTTACACTTTTCTTTGCTAAATTGTTTGTGGAATTCAAAAAGTTGTTTACAGAATTTACTACCCTTCCTTATGCAGGTGTAATATGGAAGTGTTCAGGCCAACTCTTCTAATCTGGCTGTGAGATTCCAGTCCTGCTAAAATCAGTGGGAACCTTGCCATTGTCAAATGGTGCATGTATTCAGGGTTTTCACTTTATCACTTACATTTATAACGTAATAGAGGGGCTATTCAATGTGTCTGCAGGCATTTTGGCTGAATGTTACTTTAGATGTTTTTGTATTACCCCATTTTCACATCCCTGTTGTCCCTTTATAAACAATGAAGAGAGGTAGGTTCCTCCAAAGGATAATTTAGTACTTGATTTTTAATTCCTGCTCTGAATTACCAACTGGAAAGCTGTGTCTTATTTAAAAGAGTTGTTTAACCACCTACATTTGGTATGTAATTGAATGAAATGAATACAGAAAAACACTTCCTTTTGTTTGTATGATTTTAATATGTTTTTGCCCTGTAGAATCTCTTGGACATTTTTGCTCAAAGATGAAAAACTAAAACTCTGGATAGTCAACCTAACAGAAAGAAAGATGGAATTTCAGAGTTGCAATGAGGAACAGAAGTGGCTAATCTTTTTGATTTTAAATTTTCCCCTGCTTATAACATTGGTGGATAATTCTGTGATTTCTGACCAAAAGTGACAATTACTGCTTCCTTGAATTGTAGGTTGGTTGTACAAGCTGCGGATAAAGGAAACCCCAGACTCTCTGCTACAAGTATTGTGAGGATAGAAGTGTTAGATGTTAATGACAATGCTCCAGTTGTCCAACTGCTAGATGAAGTGGAGGTCCCAGAAAGTAAGTGTGATAGTCCAGCTAAGTTTTATTAAGACTGGGAATTGTGAGATAACGGTAGTGCTTTTGATGTTTTGTGTAACCAAACGACTGTAGTAAAAAGGGTAATGGATAGTATTAAAGCTGAAATATCAAAATGAATTGTGATTTGCTTTTGTTCTCAGAGGCATTATTCTTAATCTTTAGTCATTGTGTTTAGGACTAGTTTGGAACAAAACCATAGGCAATTCAGAAAGAGAAAAAAACTCTGCAGAGATACAACTGTAATCTGTTCATTTTGGACTCCAGTATCATATCCTTCATATGTCTTTAATTTCCACTTTTTTTCCAGTAAAAATGCTTGGTGTTAAAACCAGCATTGCCAGAAATGAGACATTCTGAATTTCATTGTGATGAAAGAAATAATTTCTGTAAATTTGAATGAAGTGTTAAAATGCTCTATAACTTGATCCAGTTGATGATCATAAAGAGAAGGACCCAGGACCTCCCGAGTTCTCATCCCAGCATACATCTGGTATGTTGTATGATGTTAGCTCAACATTTGCAGACCTTGAGTCTTAAGCCTTTAACTTTCAGATACAGACATCATACATGTGAATGCATTAAGATACACAACAGAAAATTTATAAAGACTTAGGTGTTGAAACCCCTTTGAAGATATCCACTACTACTTCCATATCATTTCTGGATGCTGTGCTTATTGTAAAACACAAAGTTAAAATACATCAAAAGCTATACTGAAAGTTTACATATATCAAAGATTCAACATTACAAAATAGGCAAAATCCTCAGAAATTGTAACATCATCTTTTAGCTGTGACTTATTCTTAAAATTGTTGTTTCAGATGCCCAACCTGGTTTTATAGTGACTCGGGTGTCAGCAAGTGATGCAGACTCCAGACCAGCACTTCAGTTTGTTTTTATTTATGATAATAGTCCTGGAATGAAATTTGCCATCGATCAACACACTGGTGTAGTCACAGTAGTGGAACCATTAGATTTTGAAGAAACTGCTGTGTATAAGCTGAAAATCATAGTTTCAGATTCTGTGCATCAAACAGAAGCAGAACTCACCATCCTTGTTTTGGACATCAATGATAACCCACCAGTGTTTACTCAGGATTCATATCAGGTGAGAACATGGCAAATGGACAACAAACATTTGATATCTTTCTGTATATGATGATAAATAGTAGGAATGCTTGTTTATATTTGTCTTAAAAATGCATTTGAACACTGAGAAGAAAGATCTCTGCAACCTATTACTGAGCAGAAACAGAGCAGAGCTCTTCTGGGAAACCCCAGCCCCTTCCTAAGAATTCTGCTAAAAGAACTGAGGGAATTGTTCTGTTTTAATGTTTGTGGTTTCTGACTTTAGAAGGCAAGTGGTGTGAATGCTAGCTGTATTCCATACACCATGGAAGTCATCACTAGGAGTTATGGGAAATTATCCAAAGCAGTGGAGAGCAGGGTCCAGTGTTCAGAACTTCCTTCTTCTGAGAGAATGGTAAAAAAGTTGATAGATTTATTCTGGCCCTTTTATTATTGCATGAATTTCTTCATTTTCAGTTTACACAGCTCTACAGAGGTGTAGCAAATGCCCCTATGGTAGTTCATGCACATACAGTTTGTAATGTGTAACCCTGCCTTACAGTAATGACACTCATCTAGGGAGTGAGGCATAGGAGTTTTGACTTCCGCAACTTCCCCTAGTGGACTGAGGAGGGTACAGAGCTCGACTTTTGGAATGTTATGCTGTTGTAGAAGTCAAATTGTTTAACAGTAAAACAAAACTGTTTTAGTGACCGTGGACAGCTATGGGCCACTGAGATGATTAAAGAAATTGGAGCATATATAAAATAGATTCACAGATTTCACAGAATATTGAGTTCGAAGGGACTCACAAGGACCTGCAACCTTGGTGATATTAGCACTATGTTCTAACCAACTGAGCTAACCTCAGGGTCATCAAGTTATAGAATATTTTGGGTTGGAAGGGACCTTTAAAAATCATCCAGTCCAACTGCCTGACCAATGCAGGGGCAGACCAAAAGCTAAAGCATGTTTTTAAGGGAATTTTCCAAATGCCCCTGAAACACTGACAGGCTTGGGGTATTGACCGTCTCTCAAGGAAGCCTGTTCTGGTGTTCGACCACCCTCTTGGTAAAGAATTGCTGCTGAACATTCAGTCTGAACCTCCCCTGGCCCAGCTTTGAGCCATTCCTAAATGTCTTGTCACTGGGTACCAGGGAGAAGAGCTCAGCACCTCCTTCTCCACTTCCTCTCTTCAGGAAGCTGCAGAGAGCAATGGGGTCACCCCTAAGCCTCCTTTTCTCCAAATGAGACAAGCCCATCAGTCCTCATCAGACATGCCTTCCAGCCCTTTCACTAGCTTTGTTGTCCTACTCTGGACACATTCAAGGCCCTTCACACCTTTCTTAAATGGGGGGCCCAGAACTGCCTACAGCACTCAGGGTGAGGTGACACCAAGGCTGAATGCAGTGAGACAGTCACCTCTGTTGACCGTCTGATGATGTTATGCCGGATGCAGCCCAGTACAGAGTTTACTGCCTCTGCAGCCAGGGCACACTCTTCACTCACATTAAACCTGCTGCCAACCAGCACCCAGAGTATAGAATGCTTCACAAATTTGCGTGTCATCCTTTGCACAGGGGTAATGCTAACTTCTCTGTATCATTGCAGTTTTAGTATATATGCTGCCAAAGGGAGCGTGATATCACACAAGACCCTCAAGGGCAGGCTGCTAAAAGGGTTTTGCCCTGACTTCGTCAGCCACAGGACTGTGGGGCTTGGTCTAAGGCTCAGCACAGGTAACAGCTTGGAGTTAGATCTTGGGATGGGAGAGAGACAAAGCCTGGAGCTTCAGATTAAGGTCAGCTGCAATAAAACTGCTGCAGGAAAAATAGGTTGCCAGAGCAGTTGTTTCCTTAGGACTTAGTGTGGGACTAGGCTTGTGCAGCTTGGGCTGAGGCCCAAGAGAGCCAAGAGCATGGATAGTTCAATACGGAGTATAGAAAGCTCAGTCTTACCAATGGGTGTAAATAATAGTGGGGAGGAGTAAAGGTGGGCAAACCACCACTCTGTGGTGTCCAGTGACAGGACAAGAAGCAGCGGGCACAAATCATAGTACAGGAAATTCTATTTAAATATCAGGAAACACCTTTTTTCTTTTTTTTTTTTTTAACCTCTAACAATGACTAATTGTTGGCACAGGTTGCCCAGATCTTTTGTAGAATCTCTCTCTCTGGAGATATTCAAAACATATCTGTACACAGTCACGGGCACCCTGCTGTAGGTGACCCTGCTCTGAGCAAGGCTTGCAGAAAATGACCTCCAGAGGTGCCCACCAGCCTCAGCCATTCTGCAATCCTGTGAACTGTTTGTTTGATTTGGTGCTTTTTCTGAGTGGTGGACGTCCTCAGAGCCAAAACTATGAGGCACCACAGAAGACTTGGATTCAATAAGGGTTCATTTATAAATCTCAGACAGATTTATTCAAGAAATAAGTCTAAACATTTGGGTTAGTAAAGAATTTTTAATCTATGAGCAAGTGCAGGGGCAGTGGTTTAGTCACTTAGATACCTGTAAAACTTTCAGGTGCCTGAGTTATCAGGATTTGTGTAAAATTCCCACTTGTACTCATAAATCTACATTCTGGAAAAAAATGCACTATTAATGCTCAAGTGATTTTTAGACCTTAGTTTTCTTCAACGCTCCAATGTGTCTGATTTTGGATAATAGTTTAGGCAAGTACTTTCTTGTGCAAGTGCTAGGAATTTTTTTGTAGATCGGAGCAGACATTATAGGCAGCATTATTAACTGATGCAAAACAGTGTCACTCTATTGACTATGTTAACGTAAACAGCTGAGCTTCTCTTTTCCACCATCCTGATGTTTGGATGTGTTGCTTGGATAGCAAGATAGACTGCTGTTTTTTGGTTGATGATATGTTTAATTCCCTATTCATCATCCTGTATTTTTACCCTTTTATTGTCCTTTCAAGTGTTTTCATATTTATACTCCTCATATATAGTTTAATATATACATATGGTTATTATATACATATAATCTCTCTGTTTAAATTATTTAAACTAACACTTCAAGTTATGACAGAGGTAGCTGCTATACCATACTGTTCATTTGAAAGTAGATTTATAAGGTGGAAGGAGACTTTGCTCACAAAAGTACTGTATCTGGACTTCAAATAATGAGAGTTGTTATAAAAGGAACAGACTTTATTGGTTTCATAGAGGAAAAAAGGAAGAATTTTGAAATACTAAATTCTAAGAATAATCTAGTGCTCTAGTGCTGGAATTTTCAGGGTGAATGTGTTGGCTTTTTTAGTGGTCAGTCATATACTCCAGACAGAGACTGCAGACTGTATTCCATGTATGGAAATGAAGGTGTCTTTGAAAGCAAGAAGAAAAGCTTTTAGTTGCAGTCCATTATTGTAATCTTGAAAAAAAGTGATTCATTTATTGTCTGAACTCACTGTCATAATGAGCTAGATGGATTTAACTGCTGTTTAAAGTGTACTGTGAATTTTGGCTGTATTGAAGGCATAGTTTTCAATATCTCAGCTCTTTATGGTTTTACCCCAGAAGAAAATGGGTAAGTAAAACCTTTTCCAAAGCTGGGAACTACGTGAGTTTTTTTCTAATAAGATCAAATAAAGGTAAATGTATATTTTCTTTTTTTAATGTTTCAAATATTTTATTAAGCTCTATTTTTGCTTTATATGTCAGGTGAACTTGCCAGAACTCATTTCTATGGATGCCACTATTCTGACACTCTCTGCCACGGATAGAGATTCTGAGCACAATGGAATGATTTCCTACAAAATCCTCTCTTCTTCTGAGGGATTTTCCATTGATCACAAGAATGGTGAGTTTGTAAGCAGGGCTTATTATTTCTTAGTTTTTAGTGTAAATTGAAGAGTACTATTGCTTCTTCACCTGTTGCCAGTGATTAGTTGAGTTATGGAAATTTTTGGTGGCAAAGTCCATGCATATGTTTTGGCTAAATCTGCCATTATCAGTGGAGAACTGATTGCATCAAAGACTGGAGTTCTCAATTTGTCCCAGAACCATGCATATTTTTGCTGCTCTAAATGCAGTATGTGTATTTGATACTGCATTGTTGTGGGTAGGCCCTGCCTTCACAGTGTTAGCTATGAGTTCTTAGAATCATAGAATAGTTTGGAAGTGATCTTTAAAGGTCATCAAGTGCAACCCCCTGCAATGAGAAGGGACATCTTCAACTAGATCAGGTTGCTCAGAGTTGTGTCCAATCTGATCTTGAATTTTTCAAGAGATGGGGTAACTACCACCTTTCTGGAAATGTGTTCCAGTGTTTCACCACCCTCATTAAAAAAAAAAAAAGGTTCCTTATATCTACTCTGACTTTACCCTCTTTAGTTTAAAACCATTGCCCCTTGTCCTTTCACAACAGCCCTTACTAAAGAGTCTGTTCCCATCCTTCTTATAAGCCTTTGGGGCCACAATGAGGTCTCCCTGGACCCTTCTCTGGGCTGAAAAATCCCAACTATCTGAGCCTTTTATCACAGGAGAGGGGCTCCAGCCTTCTGATCATTTTTATGGACCTCTTCTGGATTCGCTCCAATAAGTCTGTCTTTACTATGCTAAAAACTCCAGAGCTGGACACAGTGCTCCAGGTAGAACACTTTGCAAGAGCAAAGTAGAGGGACTGAATCATCTCCCTCAACCTGCTGGCCATGCTTTTTTTAATACAGCCCAGGATGCAGTTGGCCTTCTGAGCTGTGAGCACGCATTACAAGTTCATGTCCAATTTTTCATGCACTGGTACCCCCAAGTCCTTCTTCACAGGGCTGCTCTGAATCCCTTCATCTCCCAGCCTGAATTGGTATCAAAGGTTGTCCCAACTCATGTGCAGGACCTTCCACTGAGCCTTGTTGAACTTCATGAGGGCCAACTTCAGCTTGTCCAGGTTCCCTCTGGATAGTATCCCATCCCTCGGGCATGTCGGCTGCACCACTCAGTTTGGTAACATATGCAAACTTGCAGAGGGTGCACTTGATCCCATTGTCTGTGTCACTGATGACGCTATTGAACAGTACTGGTCGCAGTACAGACCCCTGAGGGACACCACTAGTCAGTGATGTCCATCAGTGTCCATCCATGGAGCTGTTGACCCACTATTCTCTGGATGTTGTGTGCAGCCATTACAGTTGAGTCATTTTCAAATATGAAATATTTTTAGATATGAAATATGAAATATTTCAAATATGAAATATGTTTAGATCAGCTTTTGGAATCACATTTACTTGCCTGTGGAGTGTGGGCTTTTGTTAATTCTTTTGTGTTTTCAGGATCAGTGTTTGCTACGGGACCAATGACACGGCTGAAAAATAATTCCATTGTTCACCTTCTGATAGAAGCCATGGATGGTGGCAGTCCCACTCTCACTGCAGTTACTTCTGTAGAGGTGCAGATAGAAGACGTAAATAACTACGCCCCTCAGTTCACAAAGGTTCTGTACAATCTCAGCGTGAGTGAGGATGCCTCAGTCGGAGAAAGCATCCTCATGTTTTCAGCCATCGACTATGACTGGACCTATGACAACACATATGTTGAGTACTCTGTTATTGAGGGCAATGCTGAGAATTTATTCTCCATAGAAACAAGTGTCACGGGGTCAGAAACATCCCACAAACTTGTTGGCAGTCTGGTTTTGAGCAATGTTCTTGACAGGGAAACAGCTGCTTCTCACCATTTGGTCCTCCTTGCTTCTGACTGTGGAACACCCTCCTTGAATTCAACTGCTACTGTACTAATAACTGTGCTGGATGTTAATGATAATGCTCCAGTATTTAGCAGCCCAGAATACCATGTTCATGTCAAAGAAAGCATTCCTATAGGTAGTCATGTCACTGAAGTTTCAGCAAATGACTGTGATGCAGGCACTAATGCAGAGATCACTTATGCTATCATCTCTGGAAATGACAGAGGGCATTTTCACTTGGATGGGAAGACAGGATCAATGGATTTGATGAAAACGCTGGATTATGAGGATACCATGAAATTCACTTTAATCATCCAAGCTACAGATGGAGGAACTGATGTAAAAAATATGGCTTTTGCTGTTGTTTTTGTTAGTGTCCTAGATGACAATGATTATGCACCACTTTTTTTGTTTCCCAGTCTGAGCTGCACTGTCAGTGAAAACATGCCTACCTTTTCTTCTGTGTGTGCTGTTTGTGCACTAGATTTTGATAAAGGCTCCTATGGGCACATTACCTACTCCATTCAGTCTTCATGTATGGCTCATCGTGAAGCTCCTAGAGACCACGACTTGTTCTTCATTGATCCTTTGACAGGAGATATTCATACAAAGCAAATGTTTGACTATGAAAGTCAGAATAGGTACTGCCTTATAATCCAAGCAAAAGACAAAGGTGACTCATTGGCTACCATTACAGTTCAGGTAGATATTGAGGGGAGAGATGAATTTGCCCCAGTGTTTACACAAGAACATTACTTTTTTAATCTCCCCGAGAAGAACGAAGCAGGCCAGTTACTTGGCAGAGTGACAGCATCTGACAGCGATGGTGGACTGGATGGAGTTGTTCATTACTCTCTTCTAAAACCTTCTTCATTCTTTTCTGTGAATCAAACCAGTGGTAATATTTATTTGACTCAGACTGTTCACAGAAAGAAATATGGCATCAAAAA